CGCTCGTTCTTGTAAACTCCTCCAGTTCCTTATGAAAGGCGTCCTTTTCTCCGTCAGTTGCTGTTGACGTTGGCGCATAGCAGTTAATAATGCTGACTGTGGTGCGCCCGTCGATGCGTAGCCGGAGAATGGCCAGTCGCGGACTGAGTACCTCGGTTGAGTTGATCAGATGTCCGATCCGACGATGGACCAAGAATCCGACGCCTCCGACGTTTTTTCCGTCGACTTTCGCTCCTAGAACGAAGAGGTGCCCGTCATTGGTCTTCTTGATGGCCGTTTCCTTGGTTTTCGTCTCTTGAAGAGCAATGACGTCGAAGCGAAGCCTCTTGCTGGTCTCATTCAAGATAGTTTGGTCCGCCTTCGAGGCAATGGTGGGGCAGTTGTAGGTACAAATTCGTAAGCAGTCTCCATGCCTCGACGGCTTTTCTTTCTGTGCACTCCAAATCCTGCGGCGGTTTTTGTCTACAGGTCCCTTCAGGTCACCGTTTGCTCCAGTGCACTTGGAGCTCGTGTTTCCATCTGCGCCGCTCCGGACCCTCATTGTGCGTGTTGAAGCTGTTGTACCGTACGCGAGTAGCTAGCCCATTTTGAGGCGGTGATTACCTCCACTGTTAGCCGGAATTTCTTCCGTTTCGCCCCCTGGCCGCTTCGAGGCCAGTGGTAGGATTTGGGGGGGGGGGGTCTTCCGATAAATGGCTGAAATATCAACGAGGCGAGGTCGCTACCATCTAGTGGTACCATGAACAGATGCCTGCGGGATGCCGGATTGTATGGAAGAAGATTCGTGAGTAAGTCTCTGAATCTCTAGAAAACAGACGAGCTCGACCTCAATAGCGCATAAACCTTCATAAGTCATCTGGAGCGACGAGTCAAAGATCGTTTCACTTGGTACAGATGGGAATGGGTTTGTAGACAACCGTTGAAAACCAAACTTTCGACGCCAAGTATCAGTTGACAACTCTCAGGCATAGTGTCGGTTAAGTATTGGTTTGGGGATGTTTTCA